TCCAGTGCATATGAGCTGGTGAGGGCAGAGAGAGACACCTTTGGGCTTTCACAGAGAGGACACTTGTTCACAGCTTCATCCTTTGGTGACAGTGGTAACCATCTCAGTTAGACCTGCTCTGTTCTCTAGGAGAAGACCTTGCAGCACATCCCTGCAAATTCGTATGCTCATTATTTCTCTGCAGCTTGGCATCCATGTCTTGCTCAGGTTTCTTATGTAGCTCACACGGTTTTCTCAGTGCTCTGGCAATTTCACCTGTTTCTTGCCAAAAAGAGCCTACCATAGTAAGCCAGATGTGCTGAAATTCAGAGATGTAAATGTGGTTCTGACTATCATCTGCAATAATTGATTTCCTTCAGGATGCCAATTACAGCCCCATGATGCCCAGGAGCAACATAAGAGTTCTGTAAGCACCATCCCTAATAATCAGCTTCTACTGCAGTGAGTAGGCTGTTGTAGTTGCAACAAAATCTTCTGCTGCAGAAATTTATCTCTGACCTAAAGAACACAAAAATTCTCCTGTGAAACCACTCAAACCTAATGGATATTTTATTGGTTTTAAAAAACGAAATACCAAGCTGCACCTGAGTGGGGAACAAAGCCTAAGAACATAGCAGGGATGCGTTCAGGTCTCTTGAACATTTTTAAGCAGATATCTGAGTGTTAAGCTTACACAGCTTGCCAGCATTTCTTCCGGGTGTGCTGTTACCCAGTGTAAGCTCCGAAACTGAAGAGCCATTGAAGATGTGGCAGAAGAACGAGCTGTGTATTGAAAATTTGTGAAGTTACTTCTCTTACCCAAATAAGAGCAAGAGTCTTGCAGTTAGCTCATGTGAGAACGCCTTAGTGGGCAGTGTGTTTCACGTATGAAGCAGAGATAGTTACGTTCACAGCATCACACACTGGCTGAGGTTGGAAGGTACCTCTGGAGGTATCTGGTCCAACCACCCTGCTCAACCAGGGCCACCCAGAGCTGGTTGCCCAGGACCGTGTCCAGATGGCTTTTGAATACCTCCATGGATGGAGACTCCACAGCCTCTCTGGCAACCTGTGCCAGTGCTCGATCACCCTCACAGTGGAAAAAGCGTTTCCTGATGTTCGTAGGGAGCCTTCTGTGTCTCAGTTTGCGCCCTTTGCCTCTTGTCCTGTCACTGGGCAGCACTGGAGAGACTGGCTTCATCTTCTTTGCACCTTCCTTCAGGTATGTAAATACATTGATTAGGTCCCCCCAGTCCGCCTTTTCTCTTCTCTAGGGTAAAGCAGCCCCAGCACTCATGTGAGACGCCTTTCCTCATGTGAGAGATGCTCCAGTCACTTAAATCATCTTCATTGCCCTTCATTGGACTCTCTCCAGTATACTCATGTCTCTCTTGTACTGAGGAGCACCCAGAACTGGACACAGCACTCCAGGTGTGGCCTCACCAGTGCTGAGCAGAGGGGAAGGATCCCCTCCCTCGACCTGCTGGCAATACTTTGCCTAATGCAGCCAGGACACCATCTGCCTTCTCTGCAGCAGGGACACCTTGCTGACTTATGTTCAACTTGGCATCCAGCAGGAACCCCAGGCCCTCTTCTGCCAAGCTGCTTTCCAGCTGGGTGGCCCCCAGCACGTTTTGCTGCCTGGGGTTGTTCCTCCCCAGGTGGAGGACATTGCACTTCTCCTTGTAGAACTTCAGGAAGCTCCTGTCAGCCCATTTCTCCAGCCTGATGAGGTCCCTCTGGGTGGCAGCATGACCTTCTGGTGCATCAGTCACTCCTCCCAGTGTGGTGTCATCTGCAAACTTGCTGAGGGTACACCCTGCCCCATCATCCAGATCGTTAATGAAGATGATGAAGAGGACTGGGCTCCATATTGACCCCAATGTATGGGGCACACCACTAGTTACTGGCCTCCAACTAGACTTGGTGCCACTGTTCACTACCCTCTGGGCCCAGGCATTCGGCCAGTTTTCAGTCCACCTCACTGCCTGCTCGTCCAGCCTGTACGTCAACAGCTTCCTACGAGGATCTTAAGAGAGACAGTGTCAGAGACCTCACTGAAGTCCAGGTATCCACTGCTCTCCCCTCATCTGTCAGGACAGTTATTGCATCATAGACTTTTATCAAGTTCATCAAGCATGACTTGATCTTGGTAAACCCATGCAGGCTACTCCTGATGATTTGCTTGTCATTCATGTGCTGGGAATGTAGGATTAGCTGCTCCATCACCTTCTTGGGGATCAAGGTGAGGCTGACCAGGCTGTAGTTCTCTGAGTCCTCCTTCTTGCCCTTCCTGAAGGTAGGAGTGGCATTTGCTTTCCTCTTCAGGAAAGTCTTCAGGCACTTCTCCCAGTCGCCATGATTGATCAAAGATTATCAAGAATGGCCTCGCAATGACATCCGCCAGGTCCCTCAGCACTCAGGTTCATCCCGCTAGGGCCCATGGACTTATGTACGTTCAGTTTTGCTTTGTCCAGGAACTCTGACCTGATCCTCTTCCACCAAGGGTGCATCTTTGCCCCACATTATCCCCCTTGTCGCTGGGACCTGGGACTCCCAAAGGCCAGTCTTGCTAGTAAAGACTGAGGCAAAGGCGGCATCCAGTGCTTCAGCCTTGTCCATGGCCTGTGTAACCAGGTCCCCCTTCTCACTGAGCAGTGGGCCCACATTTTCCCTTTGTCACCTCTGTACTTATAGAAGCTCTTCTTGTTGTCCTTGATGTCCCTGGCCAGATTCGATTCCCTTTGGGCTTTAGCTTTCCTGATTTCATCCCTGGATGCTTGGATGATGTCTCTATTCTCCCAAGTTACCCATGCTTGCATCCACTCCCTGTATGCTTCTTTTCTGTGCTTGAGTTTGTCCAGGAGCTCATTGTTCATCCATGCAGGCCTCTAGCATTTTTGCCTGACTCCGTATAGGTTGGGATGGACCACTGTTGAGCTTGGAGGAGGTGATCCTTCAATATTAACCAGCTTTCTTGGGCCCTTCTTCCCTCCAGGGCCTTATCTCACAGGACTCTTCCAGGCAAATCTTTGAAGAGGCCAAAGTCGACTCTCCTGAAGTCCAGCCTGCTTTTTACCCCCTTCCCTGCCTCAGGATCCTGAACTCCACCAAGGCTGCCTTTGACCTGTTATGCTGTGTAACTGAACTGCTTCCTCAATTCAGGGGTGTGTTTGCCTTCATTTGTAAGATCTTGTTTGCTTCTCTGAGCTTCAGGAAGAGGTTGCAAAGTCTGGTATTTCTCATCCATTTTAGTGACTTAGGGAATTCTTGAATTTTTTGCAGTGATGTCATGGGAACTTCTCCAATTCCCTACTCCATAATGTCTCTGAACAATGGAGCAAGAGTTGACATGGAGCAGTAATGTTAGAAAACACCACGTTTTTCCCCTGAAGCGTGCTAGCAGTGAACGTGCTCATGCCTGTGGAACAAGGCTGCCCAAAAATCAGCCAGCTGCTGAGACCTTCAGCACTTACTAACGTCCCTTGGTGCTGCTGTAGCTAAATCCCAGCACAGATCTACAGAGATTAATGGAATCCTGGGTTTTGTTTAATGGCCTGTTATGGTTCTCTAACTTGCAATAAAGAGAACTCCCAAAATCAGTTTCTTTACTGGTTAATTAGAAAGGTAGTTCAATCTCCCGATTTGCTGTTTCAGAACTTAATTTGCTGCTCTTTAGCCTGATGCCCTGAGCCAGCATGTATGCGACTGCACCAGAGGAGCTAACCTGGCTCCAGATGGGGTCCCCACGTCCCTCCTGCTGGGCCAGGGTGGACTATGGGTGCCTGAAAGCGAGTTTATGCTGTACCTAACAGTATTCCTGATCTGTCTGCTCAGCATCACTAGATGTGTATCTTAAACGTTGATTAGATTTCCTTGTCCTCACATCTGAAGGGCTTTGAACTGGTTCTTTGCTTTTATGGCATCTGTTATTTATGTAGTTGTACCCAGCTGGCTAGACCAAGTGAGAGAAGCTGAGGACACTGATGGTTCACGCTAGAAGACCCCCATCTCCTAGAACATAGTCACGCAGGCTCATCCCACGGCGTGTGATTCCCTCAGCTTACCTGCTATATTAGAGTTTGGGTTTTTCCTCTTTCTCTAGCCCCAAAAACTGATGTGGCAAGAGGATTCCGGTGGCTGCCCACAGAGCCGGCTCCACTGGCTGCATGGCAGGGCTGGTCTAACACGGTCAATCCAGGTTTGAGACGGTGTGCTCAGGTTGCAGCTGGATTTGTTTCATCACCAGCAGCCGTTCTGTGTGCAGGATGGAGGGCTCACTGAGGAAACCCCGACACGCTCTTTGATCAGTACCTCGGATGCAGACCTTGGCGAGCGTAGCCGGTTTTGGTGGGTACCTGCGCCTGCAAACACGTTGGCTCAACACTAACGCAGGCTTGGCAGCGCGTCAAGTGCCAGAGAGAGTGGTGCAATGTGCTTGTTTTTGCGTGCTCTGAATTCCTTCCAGCTGGAACCTCAGGACCACAAGCTGATACTAATTTTGCATTGTCAGACCTTGTTTATACTGCAGCAGTGATTTTCCTGACGTATATTCACTCCATTGCTTTGCTCTTAAGCTGTCGCTCAACGATTTGTGTGGAAGTTATAGATGTACTCACTGCAAAGGGAGATGACCCACTTTGTGCGGGTGTGTGTATACACGTGGATGGTCTGTTTGGACTGGGAATGCTTTAAAGGCTGCAGGTCTCGTATGGTATGCAGTAGAAGGACAGTGGCAGCAATCTCTGAAGAGTCCTCGTGCTTAATGGAGCAGTGATGTGTTAAAGAAATGAAGTGTCACTACTTCAGAATAATATCCTGCCGTTTTTAGGATGCAACTCCATTTTCTTTTCAGCACATTTCAAGAGGAAACCCTGCCAGTGCTTCACAGACCTCAGAAATTGCTCACTTGTAATTCCTCCAGCCTTAGAGGCTGTTCTGGGCACCAGTTTTCTTCTCCTTTGTGTAGGACGGGCTGCGTGCCTCCTTCCTGGCTCAGTATGAGAGCAGCAGTGTAAACGATGAAGGGGCTCTTCAGCAGCCTGCCTCTGCGTATCCAAGAGCTGCGCCGTGAGTGCTGAAAGCAGAGGGATCCACACCAAAACCAGGAGGAGGGCCTGGATGTTAGCGCTGATCTTAGCACCCAGACAAGCTTTGATTATAACCACTCTCAATGTGCTGCACCAGTTGTGAGAAGCGTGGTGTCCCATACGTCACAAATAACTCCATTAGCTGTTGGCAGATGTATTAATTCTTTAAAACTGATTTGTAAACTGGTAACTAGCCTTAAGAAGAGCCAGAGCGAGTAGTACAATCGGCCAGACTGTGTTAGGGCCTTGGTGTTTCCCATCCCACCAGCACACATTCTCCACTGTCTCTTCCAGTGCTGGCCGTCTGCTAGTGACTGGGAACACCACCTTCTTCCAGATGAAGGATTTTAGGTTTTTGCAATTCCTTTTGTGCCTCTAAAATCTAATCTATTCCAAGCGATAATATTTTTTTTTAATCTCTGCATAAAAATGAAGGCTATGTTTGTACAATCTGTATCAAGTCATTAAAAGGACAGTGACTACTGGTTATGGTAGGTTATCAAGAAGGAACTGGATATCTGTTGCAAATAAAGCAAATGGAATGAGGAAAGGTAACGCAAAGGTTCATCAGCAGAGACTGGGGAAATGTCTATATTCCTGACATGAGCAAATCCTTCAGAAAGTATTAAAATTGTTGGGTCCTGGGGACATTCAGACAAGAATCCTCAGCAGGTAATTTCAGCTGCGAAGCTCTCTATCAAGATGCCTTTGAACACATAACTGTGTTACATCCAGGGAGCCTGACAGACTCCTAGCTCTAAATGTCCTTAGGTTAATTTAATTTGGGGAATGTTATAGCATGGTTATAGTGTCTGGGTAGGTGCCTGCTTCAGGGAGCAGCAGAGAAATAGAAATAATTCCAGGAAGCTAATAGCTGCAAGTGAATTCCCAGAGTAGTGGCAGTGTATGATCAGGTTTAATTACAGGATGTGGGGATTAAGGGAGGCAGTTCCCACGGTTTAATTGGCTGATCCTTGCACATTGGACCAGAGATGTTCTGATTGAGCTGAACCAACAGGCTATTCTGTAGCACTGAGGTTCGCCTTTTCCAGCCACACGTTTTCGGCTCGGGCGGTCGCAGCCACCATGTGCCACATCCTTGTGTGGTTCTGTACAGGACTTGTGCCACCCGTGCAGCCAGCGGGGACAGTGCGGCGGGAAGGCTGGCAGAGCCGCTGCCCCGACCTGAGTGACGTTCACCCTGAAGTTGGCCAGAAAAGCCAGACGAGCGACAATCTGCTTTCGAGGGGGAGCATGTCCGAGTGCGTCCTGGGGGGCTGTGTCTGACTGTCGTGGTTTAGCCCCAGCCGGCAGCTGAGCACCACGCAGCCACTCACTCACCCCCCCCCCCCCCCCCCCCT